GATTTAATCCAACAGTAAAGGGCTTTCAAGATACAGGGGTTCGAAATTTCAACTCTCAATCGATTTCTCAAAAATTCAACTTAACATAATGTTTATAAAACTTATTCAATTACACTTTTATTATAGAGTTTTCGAAAGGATTCTTTCTCTACTTTAAGAATTTGAAATCCAAATTTTTAAATTTTTCTTTTCATAGCGTTTTTTGTAAAAATTTAAGGAAAAAATTTAATTTTCGATGCTTAAGGGTATGTGGGAACCTCCCACGTGAAAGTAGTATGGGAAAATGTGTTTTGGTAGTATACATCTTACTCTAAAATGAAAAAAGATTTTTGTCTACAATTTTGAGGGACGATAGATTAGGGTACAAGGAATCTCTCTGTTCTCCGAAAATTACATAACTTTGCGTTAAATTATTAAAAAATGAAGTTTAAAAAGTGTTATTTTTAAACGAAAATGAAAACAAAGATGGCGGCACATACACAGACGTTGCTTGAGTGTGTCAGTGCTCCAGTAAACAGCGCCAATTCGAGCTAGTGGCCGCTGAGTAAACTATGATAAAACACATTATTTTACTATTTATTGCTTTATTTTTATTATTTTTGCGTTAAGTTATGGTAAATGAGTAGAACAGCGAGATTCCTTGTACAAAACAAAATCATTTATTCAAAATTTTAACCCGAAATCATTTTTTATTTCAGAGAATTTTTGAAACCACAAAAAAACGTCCTTTGCCCACATACCCTTAATAGTGTTTTAAAATTCTCGGTAAAATTGAAACCTGAGAAGGTAAGAAAGAAAATTGCGGTAAATTACCGAAAAAAATAGAATTTATGAGAATATTCATTTAAGTGATTGATAATTGCCTTTTTTAAATTTAAATATGTATTTTTATAGTATGTAAGTTATAAATAAACGACCAACATGTTATTAAATGAATAATTTGAACAATGAATATAATAGACTGTAAGGGTGCAGTTCCATGGAGCAGATTAGCAGAATAGATTTCAGCCAATCAAAAGTTAGTCTCTCGCGGCAAATTTTGCATTTCCGTTAGAGACTGTTTTTTTATTGGTCAACGTCTAATCTGCGAATCTGCTCCATGGGACTGCACCCTAATTTTCTCTGTGTTCTTACTGACAAGATGACAGTCGGGTATATATGCCTGCACTTTTATCCTTGTCTAACACGTGCGTCGTCATGGCAACATGTGTGTTAGACAAGGATAAAAGTGCAGGCATATAAATGTACCTGATTCAATATAATAATGTAATATTATATCAATATTAATATATTAATATATATATATATATATATTATATATTGTAACAAAGATATTTTTCATTATAATAATAATTGTACAGTCAGGAACATATGTATGTACTTTTATCCTCGTCATACACGTTGTCATGACAACGCACGTGTCAGACAAGGATAAAAGTACAAGTAAAAATTCACATAAATTCTCAGAGAAAAAACGATCCGGTAAATTACCGTAATCTTCTTTCTCTTCTTGACGTAATTTACTGTCTTTAGAACACTAACCCTTAAGGCCGTTTATAAAAATTTTTTTTGTATACTTTAACACCATGTAGAAGAAAAAAATCGGACAAGTGCCAGATACACTCGCATTAAAACCGAGGGTTCCGTACCCTTAAACCTAAAATTTAAGGAGATTAAAGTGTGAAAGCAGGTGGAAAAATTCCAATTTTGCTTAATTTTTCCTGTATTGTTGTGACACATAGTCACATATAACGAAAATTATCAGTTTTTCCTTGAAAACTCTATGATAATCAACTCCAATCGTTCTCGATATATTTTTCCTGTAATCTGCACGCCAAAATACGAAACCCTAAAAATGTGAATAGCTGATTTTCAAGGTTAAATTTGAAAAATTGTAGTTTTTCATGTAAGAACGTCAAATTTGACCTTGAAAATAAGCAGATCCCATTTCTGTCAAAGTGTGATTTTAAAATGCACAAAAAATGCATCCAAAATTAAATTTTTTCCTTAAATTTTAAGAAAAAACACTTTAAAAGAATAATTTTAAAATTTGTATTTCATATTCCTAAATTAGAGGAAAAATCCTTTTGAAAACCCAATAAGAAAAGTGTAATTGAACTAGTTTTATAGAAATTATGTTATGTTGAAATTTCAAGAAATCAACTGAAATTAATTTTTGGGGTGAGAACAGTTGAGGAATTTTGCCCCAAATACGAACAGCTATCTAGATTCTATCAGTTACTATCCAGATTCAACGGAGTAACATCTTGATTGTAGTGGTTAACATAACCATACTTTTTTGTAACATCTTTGATAGTACCAAGTAGCAAAATAATGGTACCGGATAACATTTACATTTTATCATCTTAAGATCATAAATTCTTACCATCTATTTCTCTCCGTGTAAAAATATTTCAATTACGGCGAAGGAAAAATTTTATCTCAAATAATTAAATAAATATTTGTTTAAATGTCCATTTTCATTAGTAATTGTATAAAAGAAAGAGTAAAATAATAATTTTTAAAATTATTTTGCAACAGTTATATTAAATATAATAGTAATATTAGTTATTTTTTATGAACGCGCCGTAATTGACTCTATGTATACCAAATTTCAGTCCTCCAGATAAATTCGTGTAGCCGCTAGGGGGGGGGGACACAATTTAAAAAAAACGATGTTAATAAGGCTCAGAACCGAGTACGGAACCCTAAAATTGAATCAATTATCAAAATAACATAACCCTTTCAGTCACGCAATTCTAATAATAGACAAAACATTCGAAACGCTATTGTAAATATGGTTTTTAGGGTCGCTCTTTTTTGCATTATTTATTAAAAAATCTTTATATATCTTTAAAAATATTACGAACAGCTTGGAGACTATTTAAAAACGACTTAATTGGTCTATTATTGAACCTTTTATTGTAAAATGTTACGAAGTTATTGATGTTAAAAATCTATCTCTGCAAACGCCCAAAAATGCAACTTAACACCGATTTAAAATTATTATAATACTAAATACGTTACCATAAATTAATCACAAAAAATCTCCACGAAAAAGCAAAGTGTTCATTTTATGAACACAAAAAGTTCATACTTCAACTTAGCAGCGGTTTTTTAAAAATTATTTTTATAATACAAATTAATTTTTTGCAACATTAACCTCTAAAGTTAAATTGTACATACCGAAGAGTGTGTGTAAAGAAGCTCTTTATAAAGCGGTGTGTAAAGTGATTCACTTTACTCACTAAAATTTACTTCACGCACTGAAATGAAAATAATGGAAATAATTTTTAATTCTCATATATTTATTTATTAATAAATTATAATTTATTAATTTAAATTAAAAATTTTGTTAATTATTTTTAACATAGTCCTTGTCCTCGTTCTTCTTAAATTTTTTTGGAGCAGCTCTTCCTTCGAACGAATTCCTTAATTTTTCTATTTTTCTTTTTTGTCAGTTAATTCCTGAAATGTTTTTAAAAAAGTTCTATTAAGTGATTTTTTTTACCAAACTTAAATAATATGACTGAAATCAGCAACATTTAAAAAAACGAAAAGTTAAAAAATAAAGAAAGTACCCAAGCTGCACGTAATATTACCTTATTATCACAGTAATATCACATGAAAGATTCGTGATATTATAATAATACTACTACAGTAATATTATAGTAACATTAAAATGTCCGCCTCATGATAAAATTACAAATAATTATGAGGTAATATTACAAGTAATTTTGATGCCAATAAACAAAAAAATTTCAAAAAACTTTGTGAAAACGTAAAAAAATTTTATCGCAGTTTTTTCTTTCCCAGCGTTCTCGAGACGAAATTTAAGGCCTACTTTTCCAGAAATAAAGTAGGGTTAAACAGACCCGTTTTTTTAAACGTTGCCGAGTTCAAACAAAGGAGGAGGGTCAATAAGGCCGTTTTTTGGGCCCAGGACGTCGCATTTTTTCCATTGCATATCTGAATAGTATGCGTCAAGAGCTTTCCAAAACACACAATAAAAACCATTTTACGTTGGGATAAGTAGTAGTTATGCTTCATCAAAGTTAGAAAAACTTTGCAAAATGAGGAGTAAAAGTTTACTCTATAAAATGTTAAGAAACAACAGCAATCGCACGAAACTTGTTACTCGGGGGTTTTTGGGGTCGCTGATCACGAATCTGATGTCAGTTTTCAAAAATCCAAGATGGCGGATCCAAAATGGCGGATGAATTTTTAAAAAATTAATTATATTCGTATAAAACGTTTGACTCGGGGGTTTTTGAGGTCGCTGATCACGAATCTGATGTCAGTTTTCAAAAATCCAAGATGGCGGATCCAAAATGGCGGATGAATTTTAAAAAAATTAATCATATTCGTATAAAACGTATGATTCGGGGGTTTTTGGGGTCGCTGATCACGAATCTGATGTCAGTTTTCAAAAATCCAAGATGGCGGATCCAAAATGGCAGATGAATTTTTAAAAAATTAATCAGATTCGTATAAAACGTATGACTTGAGGGTTTTTGGTTGTTTTAGAAGACAACTATCCCAATCTTATAGAATCAATTTCCATGAGAGTATAGTAAATACTTTACAAAGGGGTTAGCATTGCATCGTCTTTAATTCGCGTCATTCATCAACCGGCTTCAACTTACCCATCACACGAAAGTCAAACAGGCCAGTTAGATATTTTCTATTTTATAATTGTTTTCTGATATTTTTATTTCAACTAAATGGGCTTTTCTCAATACGAATAGGATTTGAAAACTCTCATCAGCTGATAAAAAAAAGTTTACAAAACTGGAAATCTCGTTTTGATGTTCTTTTTTTCTTCTTCCACATCAGTTTTGACAACTAATGAAGAGAAAAAAAAAGAACATCAAAACTAAGATTTTCAATTTTATAAATGTTTTATTTATCAGCAGTTGACAGTTCTCAAATGATGTTCGTATTGATGTTACTACAATTAACTGCAGTATAAATACCAGAAAACAATTATAAAAAAGAAAATGCCTAACCTACCTGTTTGTCCTTCGTGTAATGGACACCTTAAAGCTGGTCGTCGAATGACTCGAATTAAGAATGAAGAAATGTTGAACTCGTTGAAAAGTATTTACAATACGCCGCTCGAAATCGATTCTAAGGTATGTGATAGTTGTCGTCTATTGAGTAAAAGGAAAATTCAAGATATTAGTAATATAGAAAATGTTGAACCTGAGATTGAAAATTCCACTGAAGGCCTGAGTAATACAAAAATGCTAAGGCTACCAATTTCGAGATGTATTGCTAGTCAATCAAAATGTGTTATTTGCAAAAGTGTAAATGGTCGAAATAGAATTTCACCTCAGGCGAGATTAAAGGTATTTATTGATCATGGCATTCTTATTCCACCAAGCTCTAGATCTTGCAATACACATTTAGAAGAAGAATTCTTGACTGACAATGCAGTCAATATGATGGAATTATTGCCGTTTTCAGATCTAAATGCGAATGAGGTAATGGAGCTTTTAACCGATCTTCGGGATCAAGCAAAAAAGAAAGGCTTAGATTTTGATAATAGTAGCGCGTTGGCTGATGAAGACTATTCTCGACTAACAGGTTTCAATAAAAATCAATTTGATCAGGTTGTTGATTTCGTCCAAGATAGCATTCGACATACTGTTAATCGTTCTTCGCGAAAGTGTGTGGCATTATGTTTAATGAAGTTGCGTACGGGTCTTTCCCATTCCATCTTGTCTACTCTTTTTGCAATGGATAAAAGAAACATTGGCCGATCGATTACAACTGCTAGAAATGCTCTAAGCAAATGTTTTGTTCGGCGATTTCTTGGGATCGAACACATTTCACGTGATGAAGTTATTAATAAGCATACAACTAAAATAGCTAAAACCCTATTTACGAATAATGAAGATGAAGCTATTCTCGTAGCTGATGGAACTTATGTTTATATTCAAAAAAGTTCCAATTATTCGTTCCAGAGAAAAACTTTTTCCGTACATAAAGGTCGGCCTTTAGTTAAACCAATGATGATAGTTACAACTACTGGTTATATAATAGATGTTTTAGGTCCATACTATGCCAATGGAAAGAATAATGACGCCAGCATTTTTACATCGTTACTTCGATCAGATTCATCAAAATTGCGTCAATGGTTAAATGATAATGACATTTTTGTTGTTGATCGTGGATTTAGAGACTGCCATGGTTTACTGGAAGATCTTGATCTTATATCAAAGATGCCTCACTTTTTAGAAAAAGGAACACAGCATACCACTCTTGAAGCGAATGAATCAAGACTAGTCACCAAAGTTCGATGGGTTGTTGAAGCAGTCAATGGCTTAATAAAAACTTGGAAAGCACTAGATCATGTCTTTCCAAACAGCCAAATACCATTCATTGGTGATTACGTACATATTGTTTGCACATTATGCAATGCCTTTCGACCTCCGCGCGTCAAAGATAAGCCAGACGATGAGATAATTGCAAATCGCATGCTGCAACTAGTATCACAGGTCAATCATCTGCAAGAGACAGTAGAAAGTCATGGTTGGACAAGAAAGCGAGTCATTTGGGAACCGTTAGCTGATACCGTTCTTACTGATTTCCCGAAACTTACTTTGGATGAATTAACGTTATTAATGTTAGGTGTATACCAGATTAAGCAAGCCAGGTCTTATACAGATGAACATCTATCAGATGATGGTTTATACTCACTATTCATACATAGACAAGAGAGATCGATAATTAGAGTGCAGATTCAGTCTCGTCATACATCATCAAAACTGTACAATTTATGGATTCAGTACAATGTTGGTATAAATCCTATAGCTGGTTGGTATTGTCAATGCAAAGCTGGTGCTAGGATTGTTGGATGTTGTGCCCACGTCGCAAGTGTGTTGTGGTACCTCGGGTATGCACGACATAATACCGACACTAATCTAAGACGATCACAAGAATTTGAAAACCACATCGTGGATGCAGCTTCCTGCTGGACAGATGAAGAAAGCAGTGAATCATCTTGAACGTATTAAGCTTCAAATCAATGTCCTTGATTGTTCGATACATTTTAATATATAAAACCAGTTTGATAAAGAAAAAAAAGAAAAAATAAAAAAAGCAAAAAAAAAAAAAGTAACTCTGCCATTGACGGTCCCAAGCCCGTATTTAAAAAGAGGAGGGTAAAAAACAAATTATTTTAATTGAAAAATGAAATGAAATTCACATTAGAGAAATTCGACATCAACTGTATGCTCAGCTTAGTGAAAATTGACATTAGATTCGTGATCAGCTACCCCAAAAACCCCCAAGTCATACGTTTTATACGAATATGATTAATTTTTTTAAAATTCATCCGCCATTTTGGATCCGCCATCTTGGATTTTTGAAAACTGACATCAGATTCGTGATCAGCGACCCCAAAACCCCCGAATCATACGTTTTATACGAATATGATTAATTTTTTTAAAATTCATCCGCCATTTTGGATCCGCCATCTTGGATTTTTGAAAACTGACATCAGATTCGTAATCAGCGACCTCAAAAACCCCCAAGTCAAACGTTTTATACGAATATGATTAATTTTTTAAAAATTCATCCGCCATTTTGGATCCGCCATCTTGGATTTTTGAAAACTGACATCAGATTCGTGATCAGCGACCCCAAAAACCCCCGAGTAACAAGTTTCGTGCGATTGCTGTTGTTTCTTAACATTTTATAGAGTAAACTTTTACTCCTCATTTTGCAAAGTTTTTCTAACTTTGATGAAGCATAACTACTACTTATCCCAACGTAAAATGGGTTTTATTGTGTGTTTTGGAAAGCTCTTGACGCATACTATTCAGATATGCAATGGAAAAAATGCGACGTCCTGGGCCCAAAAAACGGCCTTATTGACCCTCCTCCTTTGGATTTTTAAATTGCCAATCGTTATATTTATTTAAAACCATCTAAGGTATCCTAACAGGTATTAAACTTATAACATATTTATCTCTTTTCAAATGGAAAATATTTTTTCACATTTTGTGCATAGACAATTTTGGTTAAATTTCTGGCTTTTTAAACGTGCAGCTTACTATTCAGGAGTAATTGAGCCTCCCAATTCTATAACTCACCCGACGCTCGGACGGACGTTCTATTAGTAGTCGGGTAGCAATGAGAGAGCTATTGACGTTCGCTTCTACCCGACTACCAATGGAGCGTTCGTCCTAGCGTCGGGCGAGTTATAGAATTGGGAGGCACAAGTAATTTCAAAATACTAATAATGGTCCAAAAATAGATTGAATAACATGATTATTATTAGTAAAATGAAATTATAATGACAGTATTTGTGATTGAAAACATTCTGGTAACAGGAATATAATATCAATAACATTAATTAAAATAGCCTTAACTTATTATCATAAGGTATGATAATTAATTGACATAAGATAAAATAAAGAACTCTTCCTTTTTGGCATGAATAAAGTATGACTATTGTGTAATAAACCTAATATATATGCACGTATATACATATGAGAGATTCTTTTTCAATCGCCCCAGCCCAAAAACTTAATGTTCTGGGATTGGCATCATACTTTGGTAAATTGTTCTCCTATATGATAGTAATAAATCCCTAAAATATAAACTCATTAAAAAAATATTTGTAGAAAGTAGAGGGGGTTGAAGTTTTTAAACAAATTATAAATTTAAAGTCAAGATTAGGCAAGTAGAAGAAACAAAAAGTGAATAATGACATTAACTCAAACCCTATAATCTACAAAGTCAAGCCATGGTGAAGCACTTGAGGGGTTTCTGATAACTCGGAGTACCACCTCATTATCTGGATCCTTAAGTGGTAACAAAAGCAAATCGTAAGTGGGTCAATCCATTATATTTCGACTGAAGTCGTCGCTGACTAATTTTTAAAAATTATAATACTTTGCAGGAATGATTTTGAAGTTATCAAGATCACGAAATGAAAGAATTTTATTAAAATTTTAATTATTTATTGCAAAATATGAATTTAAAGTTTATGAGGTGCTGAAAACTGTCAATTTTTTAGCCATTAGAAAATATGCAAAAAAAAACAGAATTTACCATAAAAATAAAAAAAAATTGTTGTAATTTACTAAGAATGAATAAATTTATCATTATCAATTGACATAATTATTTAAATATGTGAAATAATATATAAAATATGATTTTCAAGTTCGCCTGTCAAATAGCCTAAATTTGCAAATTTCATCTATTAAATGTGAGAAAGAGAAGTAATTAAATTGAAAAAAACCTTACCAAATATAAAGTACCTGTGACTAACTTTTAGTTTTTCTTAGCACTTTTTTCCTTTTTTCTTTATAAATGTGAAATAAAAAGCAATAAAAATTGGCACTTTGCTTATTTTCACTATTTTCAAATGTAAATAACTTTCTTGGAGAAAACTGAAAAATTACAAAACTTGGTCAATATCTAATTGATCACTAAATACACACACTGGAAAAAAATTCGCTTTGGTCCCGAAGATACTTTTTGAGATAATTATGTTTAAATTTTTCACAATTTTTATCAGGTTAATGCATGTGATTTTTATAAAATTGAAGTTAGTTCAAAATGTTTAACCAATAAAACCTAACTTCGTCCTTAAAAAACTACATGTATTAACCTGATAAAAATTGTGAAAAGTTTAAACTTAATTATCTCAAAAAGTATCTTCGGGACCAAAGCGAATTTTTTTCCAGTGTGTGTATTTAGTGATCAATTAGATATTGACCAAGTTTTGTAATTTTTCAGTTTTCTCCAAGAAAGTTATTTACATTTGAAAATAGTGAAAATAAGCAAAATGCCAATTTTTATTGCTTTTTATTTCACATTTATAAAGAAAAAAGGAAAAAAGTGCTAAGAAAAACTAAAAGTTAGTCACAGGTACTTTATATTTGGTAAGGTTTTTTTCAATTTAATGACTTCTCTTTCTCACATTTAATAGATGAAATTTGCAAATTTAGGCTATTTGACAGGCGAACTTGAAAATCATATTTTATATATTATTTCACATATTTAAATAATTATGTCAATTGATAATGATAAATTTATTCATTCTTAGTAAATTACAACAATTTTTTTTTATTTTTATGGTAAATTCTGTTTTTTTGCATATTTTCTAATGGCTAAAAAATTGACAGTTTTCAGCACCTCATAAACTTTAAATTCATATTTTGCAATAAATAATTAAAATTTTAATAAAATTCTTTCATTTCGTGATCTTGATAACTTCAAAATCATTCCTGCAAAGTATTATAATTTTTAAAAATTAGTCAGCGACGACTTCATAAGGGGGGGGGAAATAATTAAATTGATGATTAATTAAGTTATTAATTAAATGGTATGCCTGATTAAAGGGTTATTATGATTAAATAAATTATGTAAATTAAATTTTTATTACCATTAATTATATATTAGTGTTAAAGTGCACAAAAATTTTTGATATTTTTAGAATTAATTAAAATTTAATATATATTGTGACGCGGCATTTTATGCTCGTCACAATATTCCTTAATTTTTTTATAGATAAATAGTAAATAAATATTCCAGGGTGGGAATCACCATCATTCCTAAAAACAAATAAAAATCAGTATGTTTGTCAAAAGTAAAATTATAACAAGAGAATTGTAAAAATTATAAAAATTAAATTAAGCAATAGTGAATAAAATTAAATATACCTGCTGACTCGCCAGATCGATTCAACGGAAACAGTAAATTGTTGTCCACATTATCATTCTATTATTTTTCTATTTCATGAAAAATGGACATTAATCGGAGTAATTCTCCGATTCAACAAAATGAGTCAGTTTTTCCATACCATTAATAATGTTGACGTACCACAAGGGAAGTGCTTCCTGGTGTATATATTTGGAAGAGATTCCCGAATATTCAAGAGCACCAGGAAGACGAATATTCAATTGTATACTCAGCTGTCACAACAATGGGAGCGGCCATTTTGGATAGAGAGCGCTACGCTGCGCTGTGGCACGGTAGCGTTCTACTTTACCCTCCGGATTCATGAAAAATATCGACTCGTGATAAATTGATTATCGATAAAGAGAAAGTTTTAATAATTACTTTCACCGGGACTCACCTCTAAAAAGAAAGCGCACAAAGAGACGCCGACTAGCGTGACAGGTCAGCCATTTTTAGTCATTCTCATTCTGGAAGTGTAGTAAGCGACAAACCGCTTTTCGTTTTGATAAAAATAATAGTGTAGAAATTATAAATTATTAAAAATAATGTCAGGACGAGGTTCGCTACGGGGTCGACGTCGTATAGACGGTGAGTCCCGAGTATAATAAATAATTTGTCAGCCAGATCGGCATTATTGTCAAATCAATGATAAAAATTATAATTTTCATTTGTCAACAAAAGTGGATGTCGGTTATTATTCGGCCTTCTGCCGAATACTTGAATTAATAAATTCATTAATTAAAGCAATTATAATGAAACAAATTAAGTGAAGTGTTTTACTTGTGTCTTTATCCTTTCCCCCCCACTCTCCGCGGGTTATTGGTATCCTACAATGACGTGCTGAGCCAGCAGGCGGATATTATATTATATCCAAATAAATATAGAATGGTTTAGTTATTTTCCATAAAAATAACTTGGCGTCTTAAAAATAATAAATAATTAAAAATAAAGTAACGTGAGAAAATATAATTTAAAATTAATAGTTTTTGGTAAAATTAAAGTACAAATAATATAAAAATAATCAATCAAGCAAAAATCACGTTATAAATGGCACCCAACTATAGGGCCCGATAGAGACACATTACTTCACTTAATTTTAAACAAACAACTAACATTATAAATTGTGAAAAATTATTTCTTTTACAACTATTCCATAATTGTGTGAGAATTTGTAAAATAATTATATTTGAGTTTTATAAACTCAAATATCTTAGAAAAATTGAGATTCCAGCTTATACTGAAGAATCAAAATAAACATAGAAAATAATAATCAAGGTCACAATTCTGTGACTGATAGTACAAATTCTCATAA